ACTACTACTACTACTACTACTACTACTACTACTACTACTACTCTTCTCTTCTACTACTACTCTCTTCTACTACTACTACTACTCTCTACTACTACTACTATTACTACTACTACTACTGCTACTACTACTACTACTACTACTACTCTCTACTCTCTACTACTCTCTACTACTCTCTTCTACTCTCTACTACTCTCTACTACTCTCTACTACTACTACTATTACTACTACTACTACTACTACTTCTACTACTACTACTACTCTACTACTACTACTTCTACTACTACTACGACGACGACTACTACTACTACTACTACTATTGCTACTACCACCATTACCACTTTTTGAGCCGATGCTCAACCCCAACCATCCTCAGTGGGCTAGAATATTTTTTGTTTGATTCCTTGTTTATTTTTTGATCCCTTACCCGCGACGGCCTGGAAGCGGTCCAGCCCCTCAGCAGCTCAGCTGCCTTGGGCAACCGATCAGAGCTCTTTGAAAGGACACTCAACAGGGAGAAAGATACCCAGGTGAGAATGATTCCCCCAAATGACATATCGAAGTGCATACAAAAGTGGGCAAGTAATGTGAAGATTGTAAGGCGTAAGGGAGCAGTCCAGAGTCCAGACTGCTTCAAGGAGGAATTGTACTGTAAAAGGGAACGAAGATACAGCACCAACATACCCAGCCAACAGCCAGCATACAAGCCAACCTCACCAATCTCCAAGGCAAATCACCACCAATAGTTTCTTCCTTCAGATGCAAGATCATCCTGAAGAAGCGGAAGAGTGTTCTGTCTTAAAGAGTCGTGATTGTCATCGCAATCAGGGATTGCATTATAGGTCCTAGGTCCTATGCATTGTTGAGTGAAGGCTTTTCCAACAGACACCGGATGTTGCAAGATTGGGTTGCTTACATGTGGATTGGGTTGGTCTTGGTTCCATTATGTTCCATTTATTGCATGCTTCTATAAGCCGTTGTGTGTGTGTGTTCTGCCTTACAGCCGGCCTTGAGTGTTGCTTACAGTAATTCCTTTGCTGCTTTCTCATTTTCTTCTCGGTGACACCAGATGGTTGACTTTGGCTCTGAATGTGTTTGCGCTACCAGTGGTGCCACGTGCAATCGAATACAAGATGCTCCGGGGCCTTCTCACAAGTACAGTTGGACGGTTTTGCGTTGTGACTCACTAACTACTGGCTTTGGACTCTAGATTCTAGATGTTGGTTTAATTCGCCATGGATCACCCCAAAACTAGCAAGTTTCTGAGAGATCTTGGCTTTGCGCTGGCTATCTAGAATTGCGACGGTCTATCTCGTGATCTTTGTCATGGTTGTCACAAATCCCACACGATACTTTGGGGCCTCTCCATTTTCAATCCGCAGCCAAGCCAAGCCAACCAAGACCAGGCATAGCACTCTGAGTATGTGCGAGATTACTTCTTGCCTCCTTCCTTGTTGGCCGTGCCTTCCCCAGCAAACGAGGCCGAACCAGCCAGCCAAACAACCGACAAATAAGCTCAGTTCTTGCACAGCCAGCAAATCAATCGTGCATGCGGTATGCCCAGAAAACCATGGACCCCGAGAATAGAACCTCGGCAATGGCCACACAAACTGAGCCCTTGGTCCTGCAAGAAGCAGGAACTTTGAGGCTGAAGACCAGCTTGTTGCGCTGCGGTAGCCATCCAGCCACGAGCACTTCAAAAAGAAATGGGCCCAATCCAATTCGCTGTCTGCGGCACGTGGAAAGTTTGGGCCTGCGTAGTGGTCATTCGGGGCTGAATGGTTCAGGTTTTTGCTGCTAGTGTCAAGGGACACATTCCCATTTCCATGGCAGCCGTTTGCAGAGGAAGAATCCTAGCACAGCGCCCAATTGCAGCCACAGCCTCATCGTTTCCCTCATTGCAGGCAATCTTGGTTGACACAGCGCCTGGTGCAAGCAGCGTGGAAAAACTGGCAGGGACCTTGACTCTTGCATCCTCCGCTTTGTTGTAGTCTTTGTTGCCCCAGCTTTTAGTGTGATGACTGACAAGGCTGGAGTGTTGTACACCGCCTTTTTTCTCCCTATCAGCAGCTGCTTTTCTTTGCACTTGTCCGAAGCACATTTTCGGCCAACTCATCACAAAGCACATTTCAGCATGACACTGGCAGAAGACGCTGGCAGTGCTTGGCATGCAAGGTCAGCACTGGCTGCGCCTCTTTGACTCCATGGACTTGTCGCAAGATGGAGAAGCTCTCGTGGAGAGCCCTTGGTCCGACACGTGTCCAAAAAAACAGAAAACACAAAAGATAAAACAGGTCTTGACCTTGGAGGTACCGAAATCCGCTGCTATTGGTTTGCCTTCTTTTCCTCTCTCTGGAAGGATTACATGATACTTTGCACCTTGGAGAGTCAATGTTCAGTGCATACAGGCAGAATCAAAGGAACATGTGTCTTGTTCAACTTGCTGAGGTATATGCAAGGCGGTCACCCTGCTTTGAATGGGTCTGTTGGCTCAGCCCAATAAGGATTTTTCTCCTGCTCTAAGGCCAGAGCTAATGAACGCTTGCAGCGCTAGTCAAGAACACAAACCGCAGTAGGATTGCAGCGAAGTGGAATCATGTTGTAACAAGTGAGCTGCACTAAAGGGATTGCCCTCAACAGAAGACGTGCAAATGCAGTGTTGTGGTGGCTTGGCGGTTTGCGGTGCATTACTTTCTGAATCCTGTGGCTGTCACTGCTCTGAGGATGTACTTCTTTTGGCTCTCTCTAATCAGCGTCCTTGCTGCGCTGCTTGGAGTGCGCATTGCGTGGACTTGCCCTCAGAAGCATTTCGAGCTAAAAATCACAGACACCAAAGGTTCCGAGAACCTTGCAAAATTACAGTGCTTCTCAGATTCTAAGCTTAGCAGTCTGACGATGATGCAACCGGGAACTGAAAGATTTCAGCGCAGGACGAAACAAGATCAAACTGCAACCTACCGATAGTAAGGCGTTTGTACACCCGACTACGTTTGAACCTGAGTTGCTTGTTGCTGGTCTTTTGATCAGATGTCAGATAACACCTTCTTTAGTTGACGACCCAGGCCTGTGGCTATCTGCTGACGAAAGAAACATGGTTTTCAGAAGAACGATTATGTCCTCAGCTCTGGCGTGCTACTCAGCACACACAAACCAAACCTCTTTATGTTTTCTTGAGACGTTCTCAATTTTTCTCAATTGCTTCTTATGTCAGGTCTCAGTATGCTCTGCAAGACTCCCAGCCTTTGCGGTGCGTGTGACAAATGTTTACAATAGTAGGTCACATTGTCTACTGAGTCTACTTTCGCCGCAGGTTTGTATGCTGATCCTCAGCGTGCTACAAGCACTAGTGGGTCGGTTCTATCCATGGTGGGTTCCCAAGAGTTGATTTCAAGCCTACGAGCGTGCTCCTAGTAGCGTCCTTGCTCCTAGTGGTACGGCCAGGAGCCCCTAGTAGCGTCCTTGCTCCTAGTAGTACGGC